TTTTGCAAATAATCTGAGTAAAAATGTTCTCTCTCTCTCTCTCTCTCTCTCTCTCTCTCTCTCTCTCCCTCCCTCCCTCCCTCCCTCTCTCATTTGTTGGGGCTGCATGTAGACGTAGAGGACAACTTGCTGAAGTCAATTCTCTCCTTCCACCATGTGGGATGAAGGGATTGAACTCATGTTACCAGGCTTTGCAAAAAGTGCCTTTACCCCTCATCCCTCCCCCCTATACCCCCACAACCACTATTCTGGAACCAGGTAAGTTAACACTCTGCTCTGCAGCTTCAGTGGCCTGGGTTCTGGTCCAGGCTCTATGCTGATGCATTGAGTTGCCTTGAGCCTCAATTCCCCACCCCACCCCTTCCCAAGAACTATACCATGTTTGATATGCTGATCCTCTAAGCTCTGAATATCCAGGCCAGACTGCACAAAGGAGGAGGGAAAGGAGGGAAAGGACACTAACCCCTGTCTTACAGCCTTGACTGCAAAGGACATGATTGTAGCTCTTCTGTCTTCTCTATCTTCTCCACTGGTCTTCCATAACCTCTTCCACTGATTTAACTCAGCAGCTCACCACCATGCATCTGGGCAATGCCAACAGCCTCACCCATTCAGAGAGTATGTCAATGGGTTCAGTCAGTTCTCATCCTAAGGACAGCCCCCATCACAGAGGATGGAAGGTACAACTTTGGTGGCCTCAATACTGACCTCGAGCTACAGGGGCCCCTAGAGTAGAATGGATGGTGGTCAGATACAAAAATGCCAGAAACATTTAAATCGGGATCTCCATTAAAGTCATCCAAACACACCCCAGGATGAAGAAAAAATTAAACTATCTATTCTTGTTACCCCTCCCCCTTGAAAAAACAAGCACAGTTATAATTCCTTTGGGAAAGGGAGAGCATTATTATAATAACTTCAGCTATTACTTGTTTGATTCCAAAATTGGGCCTTTTGCAAAACTGCCTGGGGAAAGCCAGTACACAGAATTAAAACATTAATTATATTATATAAAACATATCATAGCAGCAATTAAAGCATCTTAAATTAATGTGTGAAAGAATAAATAGTAGCCTTTGGGTTGCCCCATGGGGTGCAGACCAGATAGCATAAAGAGAAGATATTTCAGTACACACACATCCCTAGATGGGGGTGGCAAGGCCCAGGGAAAGAATAGAATCTTGTTGGCCTGAAAAGAGGGGTGGGGGGAGCAGGAGAGTAGCAAGAAGAGGATTTCAGGGGAGGTGGCAATTGTCAGTGTCCCATCAAAGGGGAAAACCATGAACTGTAGCAATACAGGCAGATACTGGAAAGGAAAGAGACCCAGGGTTTTGGAATCCCAGAGAAAATGGCCTTTGTGGGGACACAGGATCAGATGTATGGCTGAGGAGCTTGCCTGGAGGACAAGTATCCACACCAATGTCAGAATCTAGTACCCAGGGATCCCAGCTAATACACAAACCCAATTGTGCTCCCCTGGGTTTGCAGTGGCTCCCCATGGCCCTTTTTTTTTTTTTTTTTAGCTCACAGGGCTACACAGCATCTCTAACCAGCTTTCCAGCCTTCTACTTCATGTCCCAGCCTCACTCCCCAAATGTCCCAGGCTGTCACCTCTGCCTGACAATTCCTTCTCTCCTTTCATTTCATCCTTCAGTGCTTGGCTCAGAGGCACCTCCCCTGGAAACCACCCCCCAGCCCACTGGGATAAGCACACCCCACTTCCCCAAGCTCTCTCTGAACCCTGTAGCTGATTGCCAGAGTAAGACAGTCCCGCCACACTGTTCTTCAATTATTCTGTTTATTTGTGGAACCAGTGTGTTGGGGCGGCTCAGACTCCTTGGGGCATGATAATGAAGCGCTCCCCTAATCTCTGCCTCCAGCCATGCTCTGTTGAATTTCTCTTTTCTGTCCCTTAATGACATTTTGAGCAGATTGCATTACTTTTGGATCACTTTCTGTTGTTAAACCTCCATCTTTTGATGTTTTATTCTCAAACTCAATTTAAATCTCATTTTATCTTCCTCCCTTCTCATCCAAGGATTGACTTGAGCCAGAGCGCTGTTTGCTAAGAGCAAAAAGCAGGGGTAGAGGGGAGACTGAGTGGAAAATGTACCCTAGTACCTTCTCGCTTCTGGAAATGGGGAGAAGTAGGCAAGAGCAATATCCCTGCTGCTGCATCCGACCCCTACCAGAGCCCTCTCTCTGCTGGTTGATCACCTTGTCCACAATGGCAAGTGCCATTGATGTCTTCCCGTGGAGTCATTTTCATGGTGGCTTCCCCCGCAGAAAGTTTTCTGATGAGGCATCCAGCTCAGATTTAACCATTGCTCCCTTGCCACCTTACCACTTGGAGCCCGCCATTGGTGAGACCTTCTCACCCAGCAGTCAGCCTTTTTGGATGGGACCTCAGAAAGGTGCTCCAGCCTGGCTACCTTGGTGTTCTGTTGACACATAGGAACACGGGCATCCTGGCAAGCTCCTCTACCATGCCCCCTCTTTCCAATGCTCTGTGTTCAGAGAGCCACTGCCAAGTAGACCCCATGGGGGATAGCATCCCACATCTTCCTCCTGTAGTCATCCTCAATCTCCATGAGGTCCTTTGAGCCATCCCCCTTTAAGTCCCTTCTCCCCCACCATATACACTATACTGCTCAGTAAAACTGAAGACCTCTCACCTCCCCAGGATTATTGTGTAGACAAGGTTTTATCTAGTAGATATAGGGCCAGTTCTATCTTCTGTGGTAAACTCTGTTGTGGCTATCAGGCTCTCTGGAACCCAGAGCCTCTGGCTTTGACTGTGTATCATACTGCCAATTCCTAACAGGGGACTCTCAATCCATAACCTTTGCACTGGCTGTTCCTCATATCTTGCTTGATTCCTAGAGAGAAGGATTAATATCCTAGTCATCTTTGTACCCTGATGCCCATCTAGAGCCTGGGTCCATGCAAGGTGCTGATCAAGTGTTTGTTGAATGAATGAAGGACTGTAAGGCATTTATCAGGAACTTCTTGCTCAGTCTCCCCACCAGTCTGAGTGGCTGTCCATCTGCCCTAGATGACCAGGTTCTCCAGCGGGGATTCCCAGGAGTAATTAGGTCCCCAAATATTTCCCATTAACTCAACAGAGTTGAGTTGGGGTTTGTCAAAAGAAACTAAAAAACTTAGGAAAGAACCCAACCAGAAATTTGGAAAACCCTAGAGTCAACAAAACAGAAAGGTGTTTTGACAAAGTGTAGACTTTCTTTGTCATAATCTGGCTTCATTGATTCTGGTTCCCAGCTACAGAGAACTCAGCCCTGGATCTCAGGGCTTCTGACCACGGTGTCTAAAGTAAGAGATGAATTTAGTTGTGCAAGAGGTAAGCCAGATTCCTCACTGTGATCGCATATCCCTCTGTGGCCTGGCTTCCACTCACCTCTCCCTCCCTCTCAGCCCAATTGCCGGGACCCTACAG